TCAATGTGAATTTTTCTCCATGCAAGTTGTCACATCTGTAACAGTACAGAACGTTTTGTACTATTGGAAATAATTGATACCCTCAGCTCAAAATCAAAAATTCAACCATTTTTTACCTTAAAATATAAGGGTTTGAAAAGGGTCAAATTAAATTGTGTGGTTTAAAAATTCTGTAAATATGCAAGACTGCTTGGATCTACGTTTTTCTTGTTCTTTTTTTAATGTTTCAAAATTTATTTGAAACAATAACTTGCCTCAGCCCCATGGTTACACAAAATTTTAGCTATCTGAGCTAACGAATTTTAGCGAAATTGCATAAATTGTAGAGTCTTATTCAATTTCCATCAGCTTAAACTTTTGTTTGGAACTGATAGAAGATTAAGCTATTATTTGAAATCGGCGGTAAAAAAAAACTATTTTACTTAATTTTTGTGAATACTTTTTGTCAAATCAGTTCTTTTAAAATCAAAGTTTTGCATCTTTTCCGATTTTAATTGAGCTGAGCTGGCATAGTAAACTCCGGCATTTTTTTTCTATCTATGAAATTTCTTGCATTCAACCTCCTTAGGCTTAAATATTGGATTATCACTGATTATTACGCTGTTTTTTGACCATTATAGTTGATTCTAATGCCCAAAAATAGATGTTTCGAGGATTTTTAATCAATTATAATCGTGATGTTTTCCAACATATTTTGATCTTTTATTATCAATTATTATTGATTTTAGTTCATACAGATAAACTCATTAAAATGATTGTAATCGATTATAATCAATTGTGAAATTGTTTTTTACTAAGAATTTGTCACACGTAAAGTATATCTGTTTTTATATCGTTCTTTATTTTTCCGCCATTAGCAAACAAAAATGGGGGCCTTGTAAAAATTTGAAAAATTTTTTCTTTCAAAAAGTAATAAAACTAAAACAAATGCTGATTTTTTGCTCGGTAAAAGAAGTTTAAATACGCATCATGAAACAAATCTAATCGAGAAGAACTAAAAAACAAAAACAAAATGAATTTGAATTGATTCAAAAACATCTCAGAACAATTTTCTCGTTTTTCACATAAGCCAACGTCTATAAAAAGCAGAAAATATAAGCAATTTAGCTCGAAGACAAAAAGGGCAAACAGAAGCCATTGTACTCTGTTATTATCATTTCAGATTATCAATAATAATTTTTTTTTGTGCATAACAAATAAATTAGAAACTGAGATCAAAATAATTGATTATAGTTGGTTATAATTGAATCGATTATAATCAAAATTAATAATTCATTATAATCTCTCTTTCTGGAAACAAAAAAAATCAACTTTAGTACAACTTAGTCCATCTAGTTTTTGATTCAAATACAATCGATTATAATCGATTATTTTGATGTCGATTTCTAAAATATTTTTTTTTGCACAAAATCTATTTTAATTGATTATAATTCTTTCTGAATTTAGTAAAACTGGAACTGAGATCAAATTTTGTTCAATTTTTTAACGCCTGAAACTGGAAATTGGTCAAACAAATGTCATTTTTGATCCAAAGTTATTATTTTCGCCCTTCATTTCTCGAAGCCACAAATGCGGTTTTTGGGCAGTTGTTACTTTTGTAACATCTTAGAAAAAGTTATTTTAAATTATAGCGTGCCTCAGTACGAAATAGTTTGAAGCAAAGTTAAATAATTCTTTTTGAGTGCTCCAGGGGCAAAAAGTTTGGGTGTTCTGATGTCTGAATGTTCCAACTTCAGCTAATCTCAGACATGGCTCTTTTTCACCTCACTATGACCACGCACTGAATGCACAGTTTCCGTTTATAGTTTCAGAAGACTACGAGAAGTTTTCGCTCAAAAAAATAGTTGTGATCATTTTCTTGTTTAAATATAAGGAGCGTCATTAAAGCAAAACAAGTTGAGTTCTGGCTTTACCTCGGCTTTATTACGAAACGTTTGACTGGATTTTGGATAGGAAAAAATAGGAAAAATTGCTACTCTAAACCAAAACAGTTCTTAAGCTACCAGACCTTGTACAATATAGGAGACAACCGACTTACATTTGTACACACTTGACTTCTAAAAATTGTTAATTGTCTTTAAAGTTTCTCAAAAAGAGAACAAAACTGAACCTTTTGATGGTTGTGACTGCCATATTTACTTGTTGGAACATAAAAAACATTGAATTTACAAATATAACAAACAGTTATAAGTAAGAAATTTGAAGGATTTAAAGAATTTTTCTTGGGACTTAATGAACGAGGCCAAACTGTGCACCGGATAGGCGCAAAACTTTGTGTCTTCTGTATTTTCCTGGATTCCAGAGACAAGTCTTTAAATAGGTTCCAAATTGTAAGTGGATTCCACTAACAAAATTTCCGTGGATTCCGCGTACAAATAACTAACGTAAATTTTGATGGCACATTTGTTGTGTTGCGGTTCCGCAACAAGCGAATATAATTAGTAGTTCTGGATAACGCAACTAAGTGGATTCCGCAAAATCTAGGCGGAATCCGCAAATAAAAGTGGAATCATCAACTGTAAGTGGATTTCGAACTTTTTTTATTACTGAACTTGCATATCAACAGTTAAAAGCTAGAGCTAGAATTCTTATCTTTAGCAATGAGTTTAAAAGCAAGGAGTTAACGATTTTCAGTGAAAACCACGAACAAATCTTAAAACATTGGTTAACTAAATTGGCGGATTTCATCTTTCAGCAGTTGAGATACATGTCCCAGCAAACAATTTTTGGGATCATTTTTTTGAAAACACAACACCGAATAAATTCATTATTTGGAGACAATGGAGGGAGAAAATTTAGAAACACAACGCACAGCATATCGCCAATTTATGTCAGTATTTGAGATTCCATCGATCCCAAATATTGGTCAGTATTTGGGATTGATGGAAATCCATAAACTGGAGTACTTTGGAATAAATGTGGAATAAATTCATTATTGGGAGTAAGTGGGTCGAGAGTGTGTTTAGAAACACAAACGCAGCACATATCACCAATTTTTGTCAGTTTTTGGGATTTTATCGATCCCACAGACTGGTCGGTATTTGGGTTTGATGGAATCCTAAATATTGGAATGATAAGGAAAAAATATGGAATAATTTCATTATTTGGAGTCATTTGGTTGAGAGTGTTTAGAAACACAATGCGCGGGATATCGCCAAAATAGGTCAGTGTTCGGGATTCTATCGATCCCAAATACTGGTCAGTAATTGGGATTCCATCAAACCTAGATTTCTGAAGCTGCGTGTTTGACAGAAGTTGAGAAGCTGCGTGTTTGACAGAATTGAGTCTAACAGATGAACATTAGACGTAGATGAACATTTAGTAATTGAGATTGAACTTGCTGATGATCACCCAAAAATCAAAAGATATGACAGTAAACGCTACTACATATATACCTTTTTGTAAACGGAATCCGCAAACGAAATGAGTGTTCCACTTACAATTTGAGGAATCCATATACAATGTGCGGATTCCGCCTAGAGTTGCGGATTCTGCGGATATACACATGTCCTAATACTCATTTGTGCATTCCACAATATGTTCTGGATTCCGCAAATACGATTGCGGATTCTGCAAATTCGCCTATTTTAGCAGCGATTTTGAGTGGTATAGTCTTTAAGGTATTTGTTTGAGGAATCCAAAAGAGCAAAAAAGATTTTTAAAAAATAGCAAATCTTGCGGATTCCGCAACAAATCTGATTTTGGCCTATTGCGGAATCCGTTTAGAATGCAAAGAATCTCCATTTTGGCCTCGTAATGGTTTAAATGTAACATTTGAACATAACAATTTAAGTGTAATAATAAACATTACAGTAATTAAATTCAACATTTTTTTCTGGATGTTTTGATTTCTTATCAGTCTGATTCCAAGTTTTTTTGGCTTTCATTTTTGAAGAAACTAAGAGAACTTTTGTCCTCAATTATTCACTTTTGTAGCGGACAAAACATTTTCGCATTCAACAATTTTGACCTCAGTTTATTTTCCAATGAAGAGATATTAATGTGCTGAGCACAAAATATCATTTGTCTTTCGCAAAATCATGATTGTTTGAAAACTTTGAAATTCGGAAAGATGGGAAGACGAAGCTTTTTTTTATTATGAAGACAGCAAATTATTCTTTTTTGATTTGTTTGATTTATTTTAAGAAATTTTTGCCCGATAATTTGCTTTCAAAATCTTACTCGATCAAATGTTTTGAGAACTATTACTTGAATTAAATTGATGCCGTGAATTCAGTATCAATAATCCAGCTGCAATTGTTTTCCTAAATATATGAGGGTTTAAAATGAGGGTTTTTTGGCCCTGTTTTTTTGAAAATTTGCCAGAATTTTGGAAATTTACGCAGAAAGCTTTTCTAAAATAGGGTCCTTTTAATATTTTAAGAGAGCTCGGAAAATCAAATTGGTCGACCTAAAAATAAAAAAGATCGACAAAAATTTCAAAATTTTTCGAAACAAACACCCCCCCCCCCCCCCCCCCCAGAAAAACTTCCGCGCACGCCACTGGTTACGCACCTCATGTTTTCGACCACCCTAAAGTTATTTAATGGATTAGGAAAACAGTTGATACGAAAATATTGCGTGGCATGAAATGAGTAACAAGATCAAAGTTGGGCAGAGAAAAATTGAAACTGAACAGAAGGTAACCAAATCTGTTTTGAAACGTGCAAATTACTCTGTGAGCGTTGAATTTTGCATGGTTACACGGATCTCAATAAAACGGAAAACTAATCGGTTCTAATGGAGTTTCATTGTCCTTATCTGTGAAAGTGATGGGTTATCATTGACTTGGGATAATTTTTTTGCCTTATATAAAAAAATTGATTGATTATAATATCTTTTTTTTCACTTCTAGAGACATTGACAATCAAACTCGAATGTAATCGATTTTTAATCATGGAGCTCCGATGCGGGCAGTAAGGTGTGCTAAATTTTTGATGAAACGTTGATGCTTACTTAAAAGAGCAGAAGATATCGATAAAATGTATGTGGTTACTTACAATCTAAATGTTGATGTTTACTCGAACAGCAGCAGACAAATGAATCAGGTCAGGTAGTGGCACATTCGGTGCCTTATAAGTAGTTTTCAGATACAATTTAGAAGAACTTATCAATGGAAAACTTTAAAAGATCTTTTGCTGTAAGCTAAAGATCAGAACTTGAAAAAGCCATTTTAGTCTGAAAGTACGTGTATTTAAAAGCTTAGCAATGAAAGGGATCGAGGAAGGAAATTCAGTTTCATTCAAAATCTTAAATAAGAAAAACTCTTATCTACAAAGACAAAAAAGATAATCATTGTGAACAAACCATCTAAATGGATTACGTAAAGAAAAAATTTAAAAAAATAATTCTAAGGTCAAAAATTTTGGAACATATTCATTCTTCTCTCATATCAGTACTTCAAATTTTTTGAAAAAGCATGTTTCCCTGTTTTTTTTTTAATTTCGAACTAGAAATAAAGAAGTACTTTGTTGTTGCATTTTTGTGCCCATTTTAGGGGTTTGAATTTTTTATCATAATGGTAACCTTTTGAAGAATTAATTGAATACGTCCAAAATAGATTAGATTTCAACTTTTTACGGAACCTTAAATTTAAAACTATGATTTTGAAAAATGTTTACGAAAGTTGCTGAAGTTTTAAATCAATTGATTGTATTTCTCAACTTTTGGTCATGCAGCTATCGAGCTAAAATACGAAACCTTTTCTTGAAAATTGTAATTTGGTTATTAATTTAAGAAATACCTGATCTGGTTCAACTTTTGACTTTCAGTTATAAAATTAATAAATATGAGCTAACTTCAATGTATTTCGACTAAAATTGATTTTTTGTCATAAAATACAGCTTTAGTAATATAACTACATAAACAACTCGGTGGGTAAACCATCCAACCGGAAATGAAAACAGCATGGATCAAAAAGCAAACTGCTGCTTTTAGGCGAAATCAGATTGCAAGGTGCATTCATGGGTTGATAATAACGAACATTATTATTCAGACCGAATAGAGTTCATCTTGACAAGTAGAAAGTCGAGTGGGAGACAGTTCAACCTTTAAGACCAGAAGCCGAAATTGAACAGAAAGTTGAAACTACGCAACATGTGGGAAAAGCAATAAACTTCTTACTCAATTTTTCGCCACTTTCATGACCCAAAACTAAAAACACGGAATTTGGTAAAGTTTTGACATTCATGTTTGTCTGAAAAAATGAAGAAAGTTGTTTAACGCTGTTACTACAGTGGAGGCCGATGAATTTTTAACTGCTCAACGGTCAATGAATCCTTAATCTTCAAAATACAATAAAGATGAATTGGCGAATTTTGGATCGGCCAAGTCATCGCTCTCCAGTGGCGGATTAAAGAAGGGTCAAAAGCCTGCTTTAATAAGATGTTATAGTCATCATTAGAAAAGGTGCCTTCAGAAAAGTTTTAGATTGGGTCGATCAAAAATGGTTATTCTAAAATAGTACCCAACGGGGTACCATTTGGAAACTTTTTTGAAATCAAACCGAAAAATATGTAATTTTTCAATATCACACTCCTCCTAAATCCGATCTACTAGAAAATAGTAGATCCGACGCTGCAAGATTGTTTTTTATTAAGTGAATAAAGTCCAAGAAATGAAAATTTAGTTTAAAAAGTTAAAAGTTTTCGTTCGCCAACTTGATTTTTGAAAAGGTGCCACCTTAGCAACTTCGAGCAGTAGAAAACTCACTATATTTTTGTAATGTTTATCTTAAATTTTACGGATAAGTTATCATTATCAGCAATCATAAAATATATTTAGCGAAAAGAACCCCTTACTGTGCAAAAGGTATGGAATGTTCACACTACAAAATATCAAAAGATTAGAAAAGAATTGAAAAGTGGTGAAAATGTTCTAAAATTTTCTTCTTCCTTTTTTTGGCTATGAATTTTTTTTAAATTAAGAGTGGATAAGTAAAGCTTAAAAATTGAAAAATAATTATAGCTAAAATAACATTGAGTTTGTAGTACAAGTAAAACGTCGGGCGGTCAAATTCTGATTAAATTTCGTCAACCTCAGTTGGAATACCAAGTTTTCTTACCAATTTTTCTGGAAATTGACGTATTTTACGCTTGCAATTAGCAAACGTTATAAAATCGGAGATTTTTTTGTTAACAACTCCTTCATCAAAATAACTAGAATCATTTGAAAGCTTGATTTATGAACATTTCAAATTTATTAACTTCTCGGGGCTCTTGACTTAGAGGTAACTACTATGCCTGGTATGGCTAAGAGCCGAGGTTCATATCCGGCCAGGACCCGTTTTTTAAATTTTAATTATCTCAATTGACTTATAATTTGCTGACTTAGTTGGCCATTGTATATTTTCCTGGGCAGAAAACAATTTTAAATTGTAGTTCAAAGCGTTTTTGGTTTATTTCTGTAAGTGTACGAGTATAGCTTTGACTTTGCATAGTTTTTGCGTTTGTTTTTTGGCTTGAAGCTTTATTCTACCTGTGATATTGCTATGCTATGAGTAGGTAAGAACAAAAGAGAATAATTGAAACAATTTAATTTAGACCTTTGATTTACTTGGTTTTGTTAGAGATCACGTTCATGTGTCTTCTAAGATCGCAACAGTCCAAATGACTGTTACGTTCGGCCTGCATGGATGGCCTTGAATAATACTAACAATACATAACAGAATATTAATAACACTTTATCCAAGGTTACTGTGGCAACAGTACTACACGGTACCACATTCCCCTGAGGACAACAAAATTTTACATAATACCTTATAAAATTTTATAAATAGTATATAAGTCTCAGTTTACTGAATTTCTTTCATTTTAGCTTAGTTTTTTTGGTTGTTTTCTTCATCACTTCTGCTTTGTTTCTTGCAGCGTTCCATGATCCCGACTCATCCAACGATGTAGCTCCGAATTTACTTTTGAACAGATGTCTCTCTAGTAGGTCAAACGTGTTGTTCTCCAAAGTTGTTTCTTTGTTATTGATGTTTAACTTCGCCAATCTCAATCTGTAGGCCTCAAGTGCTGCCAAATTTAGCTCTGTCATATCGTCCTCACAACTAATCAACTTTACAGAGTGTGATACGGGGCTGCCGTATCTCTTTGGTCCCTGGTTCTTTGTTTGTCGACTGCTTCGTCTGACTGTCGTTTTATCCTCTTCTTTATCCGACTCGTCCGCAAATACTGCCGGGCTATTGTCGACTGATTCCGCTTGTTGAGTCAGTAGTTTTTCTGCTTCGTTTTGTACCCCTCGGTTCAAAACCTGGTTTGTGATTTCTTCCCATTCTTTTGATGTCATATTGTTATTCTGGAATGTGTCCAGAATTTCCTTCTCGGTAGTTTGCCGTGTGATCCTTTTACTCACTGGGGCTTCTTTCGGTGCAGACGACTCTATGTAAACGGCTTCATTGCTCGTATCCCGCTTCTTTGATTCTTTTGCTGTTTTGACAGCTTTCGTTGTACGTGGCTCTTGCGTCTTGGCCTTTGCAGCTCTTGCACTTTGGACTAGTGGTCCTGCTCTATTTGGCTTAAGCCTTTTTCTTCCTAGATTTAGACCCCCGCCCGTCTTTGTTTCTTTCGACGTAACTACGTCTTCTATTTCCTGATCGATTGGCCCCTGGTCTTTCGCATCATGTTCTTCAGCCGACTCACTGTCTACGTCCTCATGATGTGATACTGTCTTCTGTTGTTTGCTCCTAGATTCTTCCCCCGTTGGGCTCCTCTTTTTCTCCGAACTCTGTGCTTTGGGCTGTGTTTGCAGTTTTGATCTCGCTATATCACTCTTTCGATATACTGCACCAGCAGCCGTTTTGACTGTTGATGGTGTCTCTGCCACTATTTTGCCTTTCAGCGGTATTGTTAGGGCCTTTCCACTTGTCCTTTGCTCATGTTTGCGGAGGAAACTTCCTGGCCAGCTATCATTCGATGTAGTCTGTTTGTCTTCGATAAATCCTCTTTCCCATGAGTATAGGAGTTCCTTTCTCAGTTCGGGATTTATTGTGCTCGTTTTGTCCACAATTTGCTGTAGCTCGCTATCTGAGATATCCCGTCTGGTGACATTCCATCTCGCATTGGCCTCTAGTAGCTGCTTTAGTTCCTTTGCCCTAGCTCTTTCTTTTGCCGCCGCAGTGTTGCGTAGAAACAGTGGGCTGACGTCCCGGCTATTCTGACCTTTTCGTATGATTTTTACATTGTCCCTGGATTGATCGATGCGTCTTTTCAACTGCGATGCTGTTAACGCCGATCTCTCCAAATGTTCTTTATCTAAACGATCAGATTCCTTCAGGAATTCATCCCTTACAACTTTAAACTCAGTTTTTAGTAATCGACCAAAATGTGCTTCAAACGGAGACAACTTTATTGTTTTCTGTTTATTCCATCTTAGGTCCCTAATTATTGTGCTCAAGCACAGTTTAATAGATTGTATTTTTTCTTCGAGTAGCATTACTCCCAATCTTCGTTTAATACTTTGTATCGTTCGTTCGACTAGTCCACATCCTCGATGATCACCGACTGGACAGAATTTTTGAGTAATATTATTTTCGGTGCAAAATTTTTTCCTTGATTTTCCTTTAAACCCGGAAAACCGATCCGTTTGGATCGATTTTGGTATTCCATGTGTGTCAATGTAGGTACGTAGAAACTGTATTGTTGATTTTCCCCCTGTAAATTTCGTTACTTTAACTGACGGAAATTTTGAGTATCTATCAATAGCAACTAACAAATATATCTTCTTCCCCTTATGGTCTTCGAGTAGACCCGCATAGTCTAATTGCAATTCTTGACCAGGCTGTGTCAACAGTGGAAGTGGTTTGGCCGAACTTTTTGGAATTATATAATTAGCATTCTTACCATAACGAGTGCAACTCCTACACTCTGCGGCCATATTGACTATGTCTTTGTGCATGATTGGCCTCCATAAGTAGTTGGAAACCTCCAACATCGCTTCTTGATGAAGTTCTTGATGAAGTCGTCGAAGCACCGCTTGTCTCAGCTTCTCTGGTACGGCTAAACGATTGTCCACCAGTAGGCAGTCATCTACTACCGACATATGGTGCCACAGAGGATTGGTGTATGGACCCATTAGCTCAAATCCGTGTCTGTCGTTCCGTTCCACCACTCGCCTGAGCCGATCCATCCAAGTATCTTCTGATACTAGTTCCGCCAGTAGACTTTTGTCGAAT